GAGAGAGAGAGAGAGAAGGCGAAACGAGAATCGAATGAGAACGAGAGCCGGAGAGCGCAATTTGTAGTCGCTCTCATTTGTCACCGCGTCCCCCTCTGCACCCCCTTCGCCCTTAGTCATCTACCATCTTGCTCGGCTCCTCCGATTCCACTCCTCCCTTCTTCCACACGTTATATCCACTACTTCCACTGTTACCACCACTAGGTAGGTAGGTGACTCCCTCGTCCTTCGGTTTTACCTTCTCCACCCTCTCTGTGTCGCTTGCACGCTCCTTCTATCGTTTCTCTCGCCCTCAGCCCTGGATTCTCGTTGGGCGATTCTCACCGGATAACAGACTGATAAAGGATATGAAAGTCCATCATGATACGCGAATAGACCGTTAAGCATCAATGACGTCGTGTACGTTGATTCAATTGTGATATTATATCAAAATTTGTAGCAAAGTTAAACGTTAAATAAATCAGCGCGTAAAATCAAATTTCTACTTTAATATAAAATTATATTTTGAAGGAAATTTGTACTGTGTTGAAATTTTGATATCTTGCAGAGATCTACAACGATCAATATTTTGCGAGAAAAAGAGAATTTTATTTAATTTATTGCAAGGTGTTTATTTCTGTAAGAACGAAAAGCAAAATAATTTTGATTCAACCATTCGAATATGATAAACACAATGAATGATCTATCACGATTGTAATAACTTCATAAAACGCTCTCCGGTCTCGTTCGATGCACTAGAATCGAGAACCTAGCTGGATTCGGTGAACGGCGCATTTTCGGTATATTAACACGTAACACATCAAGAGGCCGTCACACGAGCACACCTGCGACGGAGGCAAGGCGCGCGCACATGCTTGTATCCTTATTTATGTCCTATAAAAGCCGTGCTTTTTTTCGAGTCGCGCGAGTCGAAGTGGAAACCGAAACGCGCGACCCATTCACGTGGCCTGGTTATAAACGTCCGCGTAAATTCGAGGCTGGTTGGAGATCATAAAGTAGTATGATACGGCCGATACGGGGCCAGTGGCATGGCACAGAAAATCATAAAGTCGATCCGTGTGTCCCGCGGAAGGGAAGGGACTCTTGCCTATTAAGTCAATTGCTTGCTGACTTTTGAATTTATTCATCTTTTCGTCTGTTCCTCCGTTCACTACGGATTTACTTTTCAAACATCTCGCTTATGACGCGTTAATTATGACACATGCAAAATCGTGTATTTATATTACTGTATAATCCGAATATATTTTAAGCAATTTTCAATGTCTAATCAAGATTTTTTTTCCTCTGATTCTTTAATTATTTTATTAAATGTTTAGCTATTCATACTAAAGGCATGTATGTGTTTGTACGCTTAATTATTTTTAATAAATCATACCAATTTTATAAATGTTTAGAAACGTAATATTCAATTTTAATTTCTTTAAAAAGTACAACTGGTATAAAATATATCATTAAATGTGATCAATTAGAAGGAAAAAAAGTAAACTCGAAAAAGTTAGCGTATTTTTCTTCTCCACACTCTTCTCCATTTTTTGCATTATTAATTCCGCAAAAACGTATACATTTTTTGAAGTCCGAATTTATGTATTTTTGAAAAGGCATTGTGTGCAGGATTTGTATCTTGATAGATTTTTGTGTCGGTCAGTTCAGTATATCATCGAAATATCCGAATTCACCTCAAACACGAATCTTTCTGTCAGCAATATATTCTAGCGCATAAAAACAAAAACAAAAAATCTTGCTGACCTATTGATAGTGAAAAGCGAGTGACTAGTTTTAGACATCTCGATCGACCTGTCCAGCACAACTACACACAAAAACCGTACTGACGTATCAATGTGTGGCTGCCACAACAGGACGTCCGCTCTTATTATTATAAATTATTTATTTGCATTTCCAAATGATCCTTGAAGAATCACGGTATTATGCTAATGCGGAGATTAACATATAGGGAGGCCTGGCGCGATATTTCAACTCGCCTCACCATTTAGACTGTGGGAGTCTAGCCACGGTATTTGATCTCCACACGACTCGAAAGAAAGGCGCGGGCCGGGGATATTTTATCATTTCTCCAGTTATAAAAAGGCATCCACGAGAGGCTAAGGAATTCCTGCGGATGGAGGGAGAACAATACTCTCACGCTGAAATGTTTGGCCGTTAATCGTTTTTTGTATAGCGAAATAGTTGCGAGACGTTTCTCACTTTGGCGCGGACATGTCTAATTAAAATAGAAACGAATACGTCCTCCGTTTTTGGAGACTGTTTCTGCACGAACAAATGTGCAACCTTTCTCACCTAACTCGAAAAGATTGTCACATCTTTATTTTTTATTTACAGTGACTTACCATCAGCCAGTAAGCGTGAATCTCAGCGCAGTCTCAGCGCAGATATTTCGCGCGTAACCCAAGGACACAGTATCGCGAACCTGTAAAAAAGATTAATATCGCATTATTAAGATGGAATCAGAGATCAGCGCTAATGACGTGCAAGAATGATCATACTTATTAGGGGACAATAAAAGTCCGGCTCTCCTTTATCTAAAAGTCGATAAGCGGTGAAGATTCTAACCTTTCGCTAATTTATTGCAACGTAGGCCGGCGGGCAGGAATTTTCGCGCAGCCTTCGCGAGGGCTGTCCGCCCGGAGCGCTCATAAATGACTTAACCAAACGTAATTAACGATGGCCTATCATTATGTAGTAGCGGGACCACACCCTCGTCACATTATATGTTTATAAATCAGCCCGGAACGGCGACTAAAAACACGACGAAAATCGAGTGTCCGGAGGCGCTCCTCACCACCGACCGTCCCACAGAGGAGCAGGTAGAGGAATTCTTATGCTAATGATTTTATGATCGTGGAAATGAATGCTCGTCATATTTTTTTAATCGCCTGGGTTTCCACGTACGCGAGCCCACGGACGCCGGGCAGAAACCGGGACTCGGAAATCGTTCCTTGTCTCCCACTGCCTACTTTATGTCCACTCGTTTTTTATCCCCGTTGTTACAGTCTTACGGCTGTGCCCGTCTTATATGCGCTGTCATAATCATAAAGTAACTCTGTAAAGGACGACTTTCAACGTTTCCGAAGATTAAACAAAAATGTTGGCCCGGACAAACTTAAACTCAATAATTGAATGCCGAATACGTTAAACGAGGGCATTAAGCGAGCGTCGCTTAGCGTGAATGCAAATAAGCAGTGTACATGCATGGCGATTGAATCGTGAAATATGAATAGTTAAAATAGAAGTGGTAAGCGTAATGGATCACCATTTAAAATTTAATCCTTTGTACTTGCTCCGTTTAAGTATAAAAAAAATATTGCGAGATTAAATTAATTTATATTTTACTTCAACTATAATTTATTATAAGAGACTCAATTCATCGAGCACGAAATTAAGAAATTGATATCGAATTTTTGCATTGTAAAAATCAACTGTAAATTTTTCCGAAAATTATATCGGTAATTTTATGATTCTTTATTTTATAATAAATTCTACTTTGACTTCATCGATGTCATTGACCATTCTTAAAAGTTTATTAAAGTAAAATCGTGCTGAATAAAATGTCAAAATTAGCGCAACGAATCGTACGGTGAAATAAGTATATTATGAGGTAACAATTACGTTGTGCCGGCGCGAACCGCGTATGTAAATGCCGGATCGCCGTAGACAGTGCGTACAAAGGCGCTCTAAAGTAGCAACTCACACACTCGCGCATTCCGAGCAGGTGTACTAACAGCTGAGTCCAACCACCCACACATCCACACACACACACACACCTAGGCCAACCTGACACCTTGATGGATACTATCGTGTCCCTCTCTTGCGTTGCATTGCATTGCATTGCGCAAGGTGCGTCTGTTACGATTGCCCTCTCTAGCGAAACTCACGATGCAACTCAAGAGTGCATAAAAGCGCGTTGCATAAAGCGAGTGATGTAACAATAGCAAGATGCGCGGAGTATCGATCAATTAGAATACCGCGATTCACCTTACGTGAGTCTGAAATAATTGAGAAATATGAATATATAATATTTGTAACATTCTACGTACAATTAATTGAGAGAATCGGCTTTAACAACGATTCTTTAACAATAGTTGCGAAAATTAATTCCTTTAAACATTAATTAATATTATTCACTGTTTAACCAATTTTCTGCATCAACAGAAATAATTAATAGCATATTTTAAAACATCGAATTTCTGAAACAGGTTTGATACGAATGCTCTATACGAATATATTATTTCGTTCAAAAATAAAAGTGATGACCCACGTTAATATAAGCGGCGGAAAAAAATGATTTCACATATACAATATTTTTCCAACCTCGCACTTAAAAAGCAGTGACGAAACCGCGTCGTTATTCAAAGATAGTAGCGGCCGTTACGTGCCTGAAATACGACTTCCTTCCGTCGTTCGAGCGAGGAACCGACTTCAGCGCGACGACGAGTGTTCCTCAGGTATCGCCGAAACCACGGATTATTCTTCCGGATTGCGCCGTGGCTTTCTGGATGCATTCGCGGACTGACATAACGGATGTCGGGCCGATAACAAAACAAAATTCCCGAGCAGGTGGCCGACTCGCGGGGCCAACAGGTTAAGCGCGCAGAACGCGCTTCTCGAGTGACCGTATTGCACATGCTCACCGCCGGACATTTTTACGTGCTATATGGGTCAAAATTAGCATTTCCCGCAGTTAATTGCGAACGAGCGGCTTCCCGGCGATCGCTTCTCTACTCTCGAGTTGCAGCGGCGCGTGTCAGTTCCGACGCACCTTGGTTAACTCGGGTATGAAAATATAGTGCACGGAAATTACCGCCCGCGTAGGAGTACCTGCCTACCGTAGAAGCGCCTCAAACAGCGCGATCGATATCTCGCCTGTGTGCACGTTGTGAGAGCACGCCGACCGATTCCCCGTGAGGGAAGGGTCTATATCGATGATGAATCTTGATGGACTTTGACGGTGATTGGGGTTAGATTACCGATCAATCTAAGGGCCAATTCCCGCGACGTCGTTTAACTTTAACGATAGTTCAATTGTCCCTCTCCGTCTCTAGGCACGGTTTCTCCACCGTTAATTAATTTTAATCTTAGTCTAACCTTTCTCCAAAATTCTGATTAAAGAGATCGAAGAAGAATTTCAGACAAGATTAATCGACGCTGGAAAAACCGGAAGACAATTGAGTTGCAAGTAAAATTAATCGATATGTGAAAACTACAAGGTCCTAAAAGATTCGCGAAATTAAACAAATTTTTTCGTGACAGCTACCGCGGGGATAGTGGATGCGATCGGTCAACGTAAACGGAAGGTAGAAAGAAGAAGCATGGCGGGAGTTTTCTGCGGCGGTTCGCCGATTGGACAGCGCGCCCGGGGAGCAAAGCGCGTTTCGGGCAACGCGAAGAGGCAAACGAATGAAGAAGGGACGATCTCGCCCCCGGGATGAAACAACAATCTAATCGTGGACGCCATTTTGTTTCTGCCTACCGAAGCAGTAGTTGATATATGATCCCATTGGCTACCAAGCTGTTTGGTTCCCAGCTCAGTACCGGACGGCAGGCACGACCTCAACCTTATGGTGCTCGCCGTGCAGCCGTACGCTCTCTTCGGGTTGCCCTAGCAATTAAAATTCTTTTCCCCCCACCCCCGGCTGTTCGCGCTGCTCTCCCGTGCTCGTCTCTTTCTCGATCTCCTCGCTCCCGACCTGCGCCCGCTCCACTCCGTGTCAGCTTCCCCCTTTCTCCCATCTCCGTCTCTTCGTCGTCTTTCAGTACTCGACGCGATACTGCGCCGGCAATTAAAAGTGCCTGCTCGCCCCGGACGTTTACACGATCCTTAACTCCTGGTAGCGCAGGGGTTAAAGCAACTGACGTGCTCGCTTAAGTAGCTGGTCAAGGGAAACGGGTAATTATGCGAAATGTCGGCGTTTCCGAGCACGGCGCGAGCCGCATTATCGCGGAGTCGAGAGGTCTCGTCGATTCCACCGGCGCGACGTGGCTTCGTTAACGATCCACGGAGATGATCCAGAGAGGGAGGGTCGAGGAGGTCGGGATGCGCGATAGCTCGTATTAAACTAACAGCGCCGTTATAACGCATTAAAATCTGCGCGCGGTATTCAGCCGTCGCCTTGCCGCACGCCGACGACTCGGAGAAATCAAACATTTAATAATAAGGTTAATCCCCTTAAACATTTACGGTCGTGCAGATCTTATAAACGAGTGGCCATCATACGCACGCTTGAGAATCGCCGTCTCTTATCTCTCGGTTACGTGATTATCGGGAAAGCCTGATTTTAATGAGATATTAAAGAGAAATACATTTTGGAAAATACTCAGACCTGTGAATAGCGTTATACTTTTAATGCATTTTTATTAACCTTCAAGATCAAAATCTTCTGAAAAAAGAATGAAGAAATCGAGTGTAAAAACTTCGAAGATAAAATGATATTCTAAATAAGAATGACGCTACTCGTGCATGATCTCTGTTAAACAGTATGCAAATAAATGACTTTCTTCCTCTTGTTTTTTGACGCGTTATCGTTGCGGCGGATCGATACTGCGTTCTGATGCACGCGCTGATACCGGCGTCCAAGTACCGTAAATTCACGAGATATACAATTCGCCCACTCAGAATAAACGCCGACGAATCGACGCGCGCGTCTGCGAGATACATTTAAATTCGACCTATTTCCCGTGCGCGTGACACTCGTCCGACCGTTTTATCGGCCGCGGTTCAATTACCATGGTAAGTGACTCACACGCGGTTACGTACGAGCAGGTGAGACTCTCGACCGACTCTCGCTTTACTGGGTCGATTTATTCATTTGCATTCGCCCCGCGCACCTACACCTGTTTCTCACGCCGACACGTAGCGATCAACACTTCAGCTAACGAATACGTATTCATTACCAGTATTTGTACTTCTATAAAGATTTTCATAAAAACCAGACAAATATAAGTGATAATATTTACTGCAAACTCAGTAGGATAATAACAGTAACAGTAGTGATGGAATTTTATTAATTGAGCACAAAGAAAAAAATCAATTATTTTTCTGCTAGTTATTAAAAAACTCAAATAAAAAATTTAATATAACAATTAATATTTTCTTAGCATATCATAATGATTAAGTTAAAAAGAGTTTGTTTGGTCGCAAAATATGATTTTAATTCGACCAAAAAGCCAAGGACAAACGTAAACAGATAATAGAGATTTGTCACCATCGTTATCGCAGGGATATCGTGTTACGCGCTTTTTTTTGGTGGCGCACGAGCGGCGCCTAAAGCCGGAACGTTCCGGCCAGAAAGCAAGGAACTAATTGCCATACCTTCTTCCTCACGGCCGCCGCATTCCCGAAATGCTCGGTTGTGGCGATACGCGACCGATTACGAACGCATAAAATGCCTTCGCGATCGTTCTCTGCGTTCT